TACAGAGCATCCCTTGCCCCAGACTGTGAGTTCCTATAAGAACGTAAGAGAAGCAAATGTTGGATCAGGCCAATGGCCCATCCAGTCCAACACTCTGTGCCACACAGTGGCCAAAAATACTAGGTGCCACCAGGAGGTCCAGCAGTGGGGCCAGGACACTAGAAGCCCTCCCCCTGTTGCCCCCCCCCCAAGCACCAAGGATACAGAGCATCCCTTGCCCCAGACTGTGAGTTCCTATAAGAACGTAAGAGAAGCCAATGTTGGATCAGGCCAATGGCCCATCTAGTCCAACACTCTGTGTCACACAGTGGCCAAAAATACCAGGGGCCACCAGGAGGTCCAGCAGTGGGGCCAGAACTCCAGAAGCCCCTCCCCCTGTTGCACCCCCACACACACACACAGGGACCAAGAAGACAGAGCATCCCTTGCCCCAGACCGAGAGTTCCTATCTACACCTTGTGGCTAATAGCCACTCATGGACCTCTGCTCCAGATGCTTATCCAATTCCCTCTTGAAGCCGCCCATGCTTGTAGCCGCTGCCACGTCCTGCGGCAGTGAATTCCACGCGTGAATCCCTCTTTGGGTGAAGAAGGACTTCCTGCACTCTACGATGAGAAGGGTGATCAAGGTTGTAAAAGTAGCTGGCCATTTCCCCTTGCTGGATGGAGAGGCGTGGTTTGCCCCGGGGAGAATAATGACGCTGTAGAGGATTAAAAATGAGGCTGCAGAGGATTTAGGTTATGAAATCCTAGGTCATGAAGCCTGACAAAGAGAACTTCTTCTCTCTCTCCCAAAAGACTAGAATTCGAGGGCATCCTGTGAAGCTGATGGGCAGTAGGTTCAGGCTGGACAAAAGGAAAGACTACTTTACACAGAGAGGGATTAAAATGTGGAATTTGCTGCCTGAGGATGTCGTGATGGCCTCAGGAATAAGCAGCTTTCAAAGGGGGATTAGATAGATGAATCTATCCATGGCTAAGTCTATCAATGGCTACTAGCCAGGGAGACTGAGGAGAACCTCCGTGTTCAGAGGCAGTCAACCCCTGAATCCCAGAACCAGGAGGCGACATCAGGGGAAGGACTCGGCCTCTATAGCCTGTTGTTGGACCTCCAGAGGAGCTGGCTGGCCACTGTGTGAGACAGGAGGCGGGACTAGATCCAGCGGGGCTCTTTTGATGTTTTTGTGAAGGCCTCTGCCTCTTTGTCATGTTGTTGCACCTCCAGAGGAACTGGTTGGCCACTATGTGAGGCAGGATGCTGGCCTAGATGGAACCTCACTGGCCTGATCCAGGAGGGCTCTTCTGAGGTTCTTATGAAGGCCTTGGCCTCTCTGCCCTGTTGTTGGTCCTCCAGGGGAACTGGTTGGCCACTGTGTGTAACAGGATGCTGGACTAGATGGACTATTGGTCTGATCCAGCAGGGCTCTTCTGATGTTCTTATGAAGGCCTCGGCCTCCATGCCCTGTTGTTGTGATTAAAATGTGGCGTTCACAGCCAGAGGATGTGGTGAGGGCCTCAGGAGTAAACAGCTTTAAAAGGGGATTAGATAGATTTGTGAGGGATAAGTGTCAGTGGCTACTAGCCATGGTGACTGAGGGGAGCCTTCACATTCAGAGGCACCAATCCTCTGAATCGCAGAGCCAGGAGGCAACATGAGGGGAAGGCCGTGATCTCTGTTCCCTGTTGTGGGCCCTCCAGAGGAACAGTGCAAACAAGGGCACCTCGAATGATAAAAGGGTTGGAACACTTTCCCTATGAGGAAAGGTTAAAACGCTTGGGGCTCTTTAGCTTGGAGAAACGACGACACAGGGGTGACATGATTGAGGTTTATAAGATTATGCATGGGAAAGAGCAGGTAGAGAAAGAGGAACTTTTCTCCCTTTCTCACAATACAAGAACTCAAGTGGGCACTCCATGAAATCGCTGAGCGGTCGGGTTAGAACGGATAAAAGGAAGTACTTCTTCACCCAAAGAGTGATTAACACATGGAATTCACTGCCACAGGAGGTGGTGGCGGCTACAAGCACGGACGCCTTCAAAAGGGAATTAGATAAGCATCTGGAGCAGAGGTCCATCAGTGGCTATTAGCCACAAGGTATAGATAGGGGCTCTGGGGCAAGTGATGCTCTGTCTTCTTGGTGCTTGGTGTATGTGTGTCAACAGTGGGAGGGCTTCTAATGTCCTGGCCCCACTGGTGGACCTCCTGATGGCACTGGTATTTCTGGTCACCGTGTGACACAGTGTGTTGGACTGGATGGGCCTTTGGCCTGATCCAACATTGGCGTCTCTTATGTTCTTATAACAGGCTGGCCACTCTGTGAGACAGGATGCTGGACTAGTTTGACTGTTGGTCTGATCCAGCAGGGTTCTTCTTAGGTTCCCTACAGTTTAAGAAGCTCTCTTACTTTAATCATCCAGCCTCCAGCTAAAGGTCCACGATTCAACTGCCAAGTTCTTGCAAAGACAAGTCCTGCAGCTGTCAGTATCATGTAAATTCCTTCAAAGCATACATGCAAGTTGCAATCGTTAAGAGGAATTTCTTTGGCCAGCATGGTTTTAGACTTGGCAAAGGGGGATTTTTTTTTGTTGCCTTATTTTTGCACTTAGGATATGTTGCTAATTGGATGCTGTGAGTGTTGGTGACGTTTATGGTGAGCGCTGTGTGCTTTTCTCCCCCCCAGCAAAGTGCATCGACCACTACACCAAACAATGTGTGGAAAACTCAGAGCTGGCCGAGGGGGCAAAAAAGGCCGTCGATCCGAGGCTGGAGGGGATTGTGAACAAGATGTTCCAGCGCTGCCTAGACGACCACAAGTACAAGCAAGCCATTGGGATTGCTCTGGAGACACGCAGGCTGGACATCTTTGAGAAAACCATTTTAGAATCGGTGAGTGAAGGTACAGAACGTGAAGTCTGACCACTGGGGAGGGACCATGGCTTGGAGGTAGAGCGTCGACTTTGCATGCAAAAGGTCCCAGGTTCAATCCCGAGCATCTCCAGTTGAAAGGACCAGTTGGTGGGTGTGGCGTCCTCGCATATTGGGGAGACGGTTTTACCTTTAAAGCACAATCTGTGTACCTAAACTTGGTAGATTTCGGCTGCCACCAGGAATTAAAAATTCCAAATCTCTCACTTTTGGTAGAATGACCCAGGGTCTGGGCACTTCAGAGGACTATGTGGCCCTGAGGAAGGACTATTCTGATGTCTGGGATAAGTTTAAACAAACAATGATTTATTTATTAAAGAACAAAATAGGTTTCTGGGTATTTTTGAACTGTTGCTGAAGAAAGGAACTTGTAGATACAACTGGCAAAGCTTGGTGTCTCAAACAGTCTCTCAAACTCCAATACTCCACTCTGACAGGCGTAGACACTCGGCCTGATCTCTCATCTATATAGCCATATAGGCTGAACTCTTTGTCTAATTCACACAGAATAGACTCAAACTCTCATAGTCACACAGACTAAACTGTTTGTCTTTTTCACACAGAATAGACTGAAAAATTCACATAGTCACACAGATTAAACTCTTGTGTCTTTATATGCAGAATGATGTTCCCACTCTCCTAGACACTCCTCCTCCCACACTCTCAGTCATCAGCCAATCACATCACACTTGTCTCCCTCTATCACTCTCCTTACAGTACTGCAGTCAAACATTTAAAGAAACACACCCACACCAAGACGTGGAATCATTACAGTGGGTGATTGAAAGACCTCTCTCCCTGAGACCCTGGAGAGCCATTGCCAGTCTAGGGTCGAGTAGACAGTACTGGCCTTGGTGGACCAAGGGTCTGATTCGTAGAAGGTAGCGTCACATGTTCATGTGTCCACCCTGTTCTCAGAACTGCTGAGCAGCTGGCAGGTTTCAACTTTTGTACTTCGCTGGTATGTCTTGTAGCTAGATTTAGGAGCACATGCTTGTTTTTACCCTTAAAGCCCTTTGTGACCTGCGGTACGCGTGCTTGTGTCCTCCCAGCACTTTCTCCTTTCAGAAGGCCTGCTTTAACCTCTGTTAAAGCCTCACCTTCAGAACATAAAACAAGCCCTGCTGGATCAGACCAGGGGTCCATCTAAGTCCAGCATCCTGTCTCACACAGTGGGCGACCAGTTCCTCTGGAGGACCAACAACAGGGCAGAGAGGCCGAGGCCTTCATAAGAGCATCAGAAGAGCCCTGCTGGATCAGACCAGAGGTCCATCTAAGTCCAGCATCCTGTCTCACACAGTGGCCAACCATTTCCTCTGGAGGGCCAACAAAAGGGCAAAGAGGCCGAGGCCTTCATATGAACCTCAGAAGAGCCCTGCTGGATCAGACCAGTGGTCCATCTAGTCCAGCATTCTGTCTCACACAGTGGCCAACCAGTTCCTCTGGAGGGCCAACAAACAGGGCACAGAGGCCAAGGCCTTCATAAGAACCTCAGAAGAGCCCTGCTGCATCAGACCAGTGGTCCATCTAGTCCAGCATCCTGTCTCACCCAGTGGCCATCCAGTTGCTCTGGTGGGCCGACAACAGGGCAGAGAGGCCAAGGCCTTCCTAAGAACATCATAAGAGCCTTGCTGGATCAGACCAGTCGTCCATCTAGTCCAGCATCCTGTCTCACGCAGTGGCCAACCAGTTCTTCTGGAGGGCCATCAAACAGGGCACAGAGGCCGAGGCTTTCATAAGAACATCAGAAGAGCCCTGCTGGAGCATACCAGTTGTCCATCTAGTCCAGCATCCTGTCTCACCCAGTGGCCAACCAGTTCCACTGGAGGTCCGGCAACAGGGCAGAGAGGCCGAGGCCTGCCCCTGATTTTGCCTCCTGGCTCTGGGATTAGTGCCTCTGACTGTGGAGGTTCCCCTCAGCCACCATGTCTAGCAGCCATTGATAGTCTTAGCCTCCATAAATCTGTCTAATTCCCTGAGCCAGTTTGGTGTCGTGGTTAAGTGCGCGGACTCTAATCTGGGAGAACCGGGTCTGATTCCCCATTCCTCCACTTGTACCTGCTGGATGACCTTGGGTCAGTCACAAGCTCTGGCACAGCTGTCCTTGAAAAAAGAGCAGTTTCTGTCAGAGCTCTCTCAGCCCCACCTACCCCACAGGGTGTCTGCTGTGGGGAGGGGGAGGAGATTGTAAGCCGCTCTGAGACTCCTTTGGGTAGTGAAGGGCGAGGTATAAATCCAATCTCTTCTTCGCTGCTTCTTCTTCTTTTCAAACTGTTTATTCCTGTGGCCATCACTATGTACTTGCCTCAAGCCTCGCTGTGAGTTCTGGGTTTGAACTCTGGGCTTTCTGGCATGTGGTCTTTATCTTCTGTTCTACACCAGTTCTCAAAAGCTTATCCGCACATCTTCCAGAGATTTACAGTGCATTTCGTCCTTGAGGGCAGAATCCACTGTAAACTGGAGTAAGTTGGACTGCATTCACAGTGTTGCTTTGAACGTTGTTGCCAAAAACTGGTTTGATGGGGTTTGCACGGCTTGGTTGCTACGTGGCTGTGTACTCTTCGATCAGTTGCATCCTTTGTATTTCACTAAACTTTAAGAGGTAGATTCTGGTGGGTCGCCATGTTTCAGTCCAGTGGAACCTTTAAAACCAACAGAGTTTAATTCTGGGTATAAGCTTTCGTGTGCATGCACACTACTTCAGAGGTAGGGTTTAATAAATTTTTGAAATATATCCCGCCATTCCTTTTTAGCTCAAGGCGGCGTACAAATCCAGGTTTTAAGAACATAAGAGAAACCAATGTTGGATCAGGCCAATGGCCCATCCAGTCCAACACTCTGTGTCACACAGTGGCCAAAAACACCAGGTGCCAACAGGAGGTCCAGCAGTGGGGCCAGGACAGTAGAAGCCCTCCCACTGTTGCCCCCCCCCCAAGCACCAAGAATACAGAGCATCCCTTGCCCCAGATTGAGCCCCTATCTATACCTTGTGGCTGATAGCCAGTGATGGATCTCTGCTCCATATGGTTATCTAATTCCCTCTTGAAAAGCCGCCCATGCTTGTTGCCGCCACCACCTCCTGTGGCAGTGAATTCCATGTGTTGATCACTCTTTGAGTGAAGAAGTACTTCCTTTTATCCATTTTAATGCTACCGCTCAGCAATTTCTTTCTTTTTTTTTTTAAACTACCCCCAAAGGGGCAGGGTTTTATTACATTTTCCACATAACATACACAAACAATCATAACATATACATACATATACGAACAGTACAAACAGAAACATGGAGGTTATTTTCAATTTTTACCAATATTTATACTGGTGCCTATTCCACCTTAATAACAGTTTTTCATGAACTGTGTAAGCAACTTTTCTGTCTCTATCATCCTAACAGGCAGGGGTCATTTCGTAGAAAAAGAGCTAGGGGAACTCATTAGCATAACTCATTAGTATATGCCACACCCCCTGACATCAGGGGCCCGGCGGTGGACCTGCAAGGCCAGCGGGAGTGCGAGGAAGCCCCGCCAAGGCCCTCCCTGGCCCCAGGCAGGCAGGGGTGGGGAG